ATTCATCTCTTCTTCCATGGCAGCCTTCCATCTATCACTTTTCTCACAAGAAACAGCCTCCTGGAAAGTACAAGGATCCACACTAGTGATCGTAAGAGCAAATGCGACCATATCTTCATAACCAAACCTGACCTAAGCTTGTATATTGGTACGCCTCACTCTATCCCGAGCTAACTTGTAGCTCTCTGGCACATCAGTTGGGCCAGAAACATCATGATCAACATCATCAGGTGCAGAACTCGAACTCTCTCCCTTATCAAGAACTGCTGGAACATGTTCCAACTCCACTTGTACCTTATCTGCATCTGATCCCAACATAGACTGTTCATCAAACAGTGCATCTCTACTAATCACAGTCTTCTTCTCAACTGGATCCCAAAACTTGTATCCCTTCACACCTTTCTTATAGCCCAGAAAAGTGCACTTCTTTGATTTAGCATCAAGTTTTGACCTCTCATCAGCAGGAATATGAACATAAGCAGGACAGGCAAAAATCTTCAAATGATCAAAACTAACATCATTACATGTCCATACTTCTTCTGCAACTTTGCCATCCAGAGATGCACGTGGTGATCTGTTAATTAAATAACAAGCCATACTTACAGCCTCAGCCCAGAAACTCTTTGGCAAACCCGCATTCAGTCTTAAACACCTCGCCCTCTCAGCCAGTGTCCGATTCATCCTCTCAGAAACACCATTCTGTTGTGGTATTTTACGCACTGTAAAATGCCTTTGAATCTCATGCGCCTCACAAAACTTCTGGAACTGTGAATCGGTGTACTCTGTACTATTATCAGACCTTAAGTACTTGATTTTCCTACCAGTCTGGTTCTCCACCTCAGCCTTCCATAGCTTGAATTTAGCAAAAACTTCAGATTTATGCTTCATGAAATACACCCAAACTTTTTTCGAAAAATCATCAATAAAGGTCACATAGTACAAAGAACCACCAATCGATGTCACTCTAGTAGGACCCCACACATCTGAATGTACATAATCCAGAATTCCTTTTGTCTTCTTCTTCCCAGTCTTGAAACTGACTTTTGTCTGCTTTCCCAGAACACAAAATTTGCAGAAATTGAGTTTGCAAGTCTTAACACCATGCAGAAGCCCCCTCTTATGCAGTTCAGTCATGCCATGTTCACTAAGATGTCCAAGACGCATGTGCCACAATTTCGTGCTATCTTCACATGACTCCACCGAATGGACTCCACCTACAACTGTACTTCCCAACAGTTTGTAAATGTTCCCTGCAGTGATCCTCCCTTCATCGCAGTCAAAGCACCCTTCACAATCTTAATGGTTTCCCTATCCTCATCAGCCTTGGGAATGAAACCATTTCTATGCGAAGTACCCAAAGAAATCAAATTCTTCTTCAACTCAGGGATATGTCTCACATCACATAACGTCCTAACAGTTCCATCATACATCCTGATTTTGACATCTCCAGTACCGACAATACCGCAACATCTATCATCACCAAGAAAAATAGAACTTGAGTTGCCTGGTTTATAAGTAGCAAACCACTCTCTGTTAGGCGTTATATGACATGAACATCCAGAATCGAGAATCCAAGCATCATCATACTGCGTAGTCGAAATAGATAACATATCTCCATCACTGCAATCGGATTCCTCATTTTGTACCACATTCGCAGACTTGGATGACATATCAACAGTCTGTTTCTTCCACTTTGGGCAATCCCGTTTAAAGTGCCCTTGTTCCTTGCACTTATAACACGTCACAGTTTTCTTCCCTTTCGATTTGTCTCGCGACTTGGATCTGAAATTCTGATTTCTTGAATTATCCCGCACCTGTTTCCTTCCACGATACTGGTTACTCTTCAAATATAAACTGTCACTTTGAGAAGATGACTCTCCAGATTTCTGTTTCCGCTGGTTGTGAGCCAACAATGCTGAAGTAATCTCCTCAGTCTTGATCGTTTCTTTCCCATATGTAAGGGTAGTCACCATATGTTCGTAAGAAGAAGGTAACGAACACAGTAAAATCATCGTCTTGTCTTCATCTTCAATCTTGACTTCGAGTGAAGCCAAATCTGTGACAACCTGATTGAAGATATTCACATGTTGCCCTAAATCGGTCCCCTCCTGCATCTTCAGCCCGTATAACCTCTGCTTCAGATACAGTTTTGTTGTTAGGGTTTTCGACATAAACTGCGATTCCAGTTTCTTCCAGATCTCATCCGCCGATTTGAGATGCATAACGTGATACATAACTTCATCTGCAAGGCACAACCAGATCGTCCCGGCTGCCCGTTCCTGCAGATCTTGCCAATCATCGTCTTCCATCCCCTTTGGCTTTTCTGCGCGCAGCCCTTTCTGAATTCCTTGCTGCGCTAATAAATCTTTTACTCTCGTCTGCCATAATCCAAAATTGCCATGACCATCAAATTTCGAGACCTCGAATTTCGATCCTCACGTCATCTCCGTCGCCCAATCAACCAGGCTCTGGTACCACTTGTTGAGTAAAGATGACAATATGGCATACGAATTAAAAACGAGAAAAGTAAATAACACAAGATTTACGTGGTTCGGCAATGTGCCTACGTCCACGGCGGCTGAGGGATCTTTATTATTCTCAATAGTCTCAAATACATCAATACACCATGTATTTATACTATAACCCTACAAGGTAATAATTTACTTAAATACCCCGTACCGTACCGC